GGACCCCAAACAAGGACCCTGTTAGTGACTGTCTCTGGCCACTGAGTCAGCAAGGAAAAGCTGTCTGAAACATGCTGACTCCCTAGCATCAGCTTACTCACCACGGGTATGTCTACACTACAGCACTAATTCGAACTAACTTAATTTGAATTAGTTAATTCGAACTAAGCTAGTTCGAACTAGTGCATCTAAACCTAAAAACTAGTTTGAATTAGCGTTTTGCTAATTTGAACTAGCATGTCCACATTGAGTGGACCCTGAACCGAAGTTAAGGCTGGCCGGAAGCAGTGCTGGCAGGGCGTCAGGTTAGGACTTAGAGCGTGGAGCTGCTGTCTCAGGCTAGCCGAGGGCTGTGCTTAAAGGGACCTGACCCCCACCCGGGACAGACAGTTCTCAGGGTTCCCCACTTGCTTGTCTACCTTGATGAGGGACAGCAAAGCAGTCCTGACTTGGAGTGCCGTGAGTTCCCACACTCGGCACATCACAGCACTCAGCCATCAGCCCAGCTGCACTTGCCGCAGGCTGCCATCTGGGGGGGGGTCAATCGGGGGACTGCAGAAGAGCTTCCACCCCGAGGAGCCCGCAGAGCCACCCCAGTCCTCCCCATCGGGGGCTCGTACCCCATTCCTCCCTCCCCTCCTTCCACTTACCCGTCCCTAGCCCCCCTTCCTGATGTACAAAATAAAGCACACGTGTGTTCAAAAACAGAAACTCTCTTTATTTAACAAAACTGGGGGGGGGGATTAGCCTCTGGGGAGACTGGAAAAAGGAGGTGGGAGAGAGGAAGAGAGAGGGTGGGAGAGGGGAGGGGGAAACCTGGGAGGAGGGAGCTGGATGGGGGAAGCCAGGGGAAGAAGGAGGGGAAGTATCAAACTATGGTACGCCATATCTTCAGTACAGTGTACAGACGTGGTCTCCTCACCTCAAAAAAGATGTTTTGGCCTTGGAAAGGGTTCAGAAAAGGGCAATTAAAATGATGAGGAGTTTGGAACAGGTCCCATATGAAGAGAGGCTAAAGAGACTGGGACTTTTCATCTTAGAAAAGAGGAGACTGAGGGGGGATATGATAGAGGTCTATAAAAGCATGAGTGCTGTGGAGAGGGTGCATAAAGAAAAGCTCTTCATTAGTTCCCATAATAGAAGGACTAGAGGACACTAAATGAAATGAATGGGTAGCAGGCTTCAAACTAAAAAGCGAAAGTTCTTCTTCACAAAGCAAATAGTCAACCTGTGGAACTCCTTGCTGCAGGAGGCTGTGAAGGCTAGAACTATAACAGAGTTTAAAAAGAAGTTAGATAAAGTCATGGAGGTTGGGTCCATGGAGTGCTATTAGCCAGGGGGTAGAAATGGTGTCCCAGGCCTCTGTTTGTGGAAGGCTGGAGATGGATAGCGCGAGATAAATGGCTTGATCATTGTCTTCGGTCCATCCCCTCCGGGGTAGCTGGTGTTGGCCGCTGTTGGTCTGACCCAGTATGGCCGTTCTTATGTTCTAAGCTCAGGGCTCAGGGTCGGGGGTCTCACTGGACCACCTTGATTTTCATGCAAACCTGATCCTGGGTTCGTATGTGGCCTTTGGTGGCCAGGCTGGCAGCTATCCTGCCCTAGACAGCCACTTTCCTGTGCCTAGTGCAGAGATTGTGGATGTTGGAGGCCTCCCCCCAAACCAGGATGAAGTCCACGATCTCCGCACTAGACTAGGTGGGAGCCCGCCTCTTGCATCCCCAGGCAAGCTCCTGGGAGCCGTCAGCCTGGTCCTGGGAAGAGGCGGAGGGCTGGGTGGCAGCGGGGGTCTGCTGGCTGGGTGCTGGCAGGCTTGCACCTGGCATGGGCACTGTAGCCAGACCATGCCCCTTTAAGGACTCCGTGGTCGGGAGGGGGGCAGAAGAGTTTCCCTGGTTGTGCCCAGAGTGGCCACCAGGGAAAGCTGGGGAGGGCTAGCCTCCCACTAGTTCGAATTAAGTGGCTACACAGCCCTTAATTCGAACTACTTAATTCGAACTAGGCGTTAGTCCTCGTAGAATGAGGTTTACCTAGTTCGAATTAAGCGCACCGCTAGTTCGAATTAACTTTGTAGTGTAGACATACCCCAAGTAGCCATCATCCCTGGGCTGCTTCCTGCATCAGTTGTCTCAGCTTCCTCATGAATCTCCCTCTCCTGTGCTTTGTTAGGGATCTGGGGGCTTCTGCTTACCTCTGGAACCCATGAAGTCTCTGGGAGCACCTGGCCTCCAACCGGCGTGGTAGCACCTTGGTGCTTGGATATTCACTGCAGTTTGCCTGGAGCTGCCAATGCACATTCTCTCCTTCTGGCCACCAGCCCCAGCTGAGCTGAGCTGCTCTCTTTTATAGCTGTGCAGCTCAAGCATGCCCAGTAAGGCAAAGGGGGTGTGGCTTTCTCAGCCCTCATGGTTAACCCCGTCCTGCTCAGTGTGAGGAGAGTACGCACCATCACATTCCCCACTATATCTAGGAAGGAAAATCAATTTAGGAAGGTCTAGTTCACATATTGGTTGCCTGGTGGGATAAGGAAGCCATTACTTTTAACAAGTCTTGACTTGAAGAACTGGTCTCAGGTCCCAGTAGTGGAGCTTGCTGTTCTAGCTGCAAGACCACTGAATCTCATCCTGGGTGGAAAAAGGGCTGTGTAAGTACAGACGAGTAGCACTTCAAATTATCTTTGCATAGGTCAGCGCTCTGGTTCCATGCTGCTTTGTCCTCTCTGCTACTTCCATCCTTCCGTGCTCGTTATCTATGTGCACCTGCCTCCCACATAACATCTTGTTCTAGCACATCCCTACACTGCAGCAACAGTATAGTATAATATGAATTGCTACCCTGTGACATATAACAAGGAGCCGAGTTACATCAGGGTACAAGAAAGTTAAAACATGCTTCTTTAGCTAGAAAAACTACAGTTATGAGACATTAGATTGTTTTGAAGGTACTCTGTGTGCTAAACTGACCCACATTCACTACGGGGCCTTTCTTGATTTTACTACCCTAGTTCTTTTTCCTCTGTGTAATAGCATTAATATACTTTTCACTCGTGCTTTCCAAAACAATTCAAACTGAGACAGGCTGAGCTATCAGCCGAATAGTTAATGTTTGGCAAAGTTTGGGGTACTGAAAGAAGGTAGAACAGTAAACATTATATAGCCCTTGCTGGCTGCTCTGCCTATGATAAAGACTATGAATATCTCTTGAAGAGCATGATCTGATCACAGGGAGCAGAGTTAGCAACTTCTAGCTCTGACAATACCAAGACTGTCTCCAGCTGTAGCATGGGGATAACATAAAGGCCCTGTCTATACTAGGAGATAAGGTTGAACCTTTTAAGGTCCATTTCTGGTCACCTGATTTTGCAAAGTCAAAGGTCTGTGTCCTCACTGTTGGGAAGAATCGACTGTAGTCTGAAATAGCGCGTCCCTATTAGGAAACCTTCCTTCAACTCAGAGAGCATTGCACCAGGGTTAGCTTTGCATTCTGGGCTATGCTCCCGGTGCCCCCTGGGACCAAAACTGTGCAGTGGGTGATTATGGGTTCATGTCATCAGCATCCCATAATGCAGTCAACTAGTCCCTCCCCCATTGCTTGAGATCAGTGGGAAGCAGTGTTTTCGTGCCCTTTTTTGTCCTGGTTGCCTGCGCAGACACAATAGCAACATGAGCATGGATCCCATTTTGCAAACCATTGTGATGCTGATGTCTGCCTGGATGCGCCTAATGGTGCAGCACTTCGAGAACATACGCATGTCGCTCCGCCAGGAAGAGGATGAGGGCGAATCTCAGGTTGACATGGAGTCGCTGTTCATGCAAGCCCTGGCACTGATGCAAGTACAGCCACCAGTCAATCCTGTGGACACAGTGGATGCCCTGGGACAAGCTCAGACTCTTGGGACCTCATTGTGATGCAGAGATGGGATGAGCAGCAGTGGCTGGAAAACTTCCAAATGCACAAGGCCACTTTCTTGGAACTTTACAAAAGGTTTTCCCCTGCCCTGAAGCACCAGAATACCTGAATGAGACCTGCTTCTGACCACAGACATGTGCGTGGAGATTGCCCTTTGGAAGCTTGCAATGCCTGACAGCTTCCGCTCAGTTGGGAATTAATTCAAAGTGAGGAAATCTACAGTGGGGGCTGCTGTTATCCAAGTAGCCAAGGCAATCAAAACCGTTCTGCTACAGAGAATTGTGACTCTGGGTAATGTGGATACCACAGTGAAGGGCTTTGCCATGATGGGGTTCCCTTACTGTAGTGGGGTGATAGAACACACATCCCTATCTGGGCCCCCAACCACCTTGCCAAGAAGTACATAAACTGCAAGGGGTACTTCTCCATAGTGCTGCAGGCGCTAGTGGCTCACACAGGCTGTTTCATCAACATGGGATCGTCAGGAAAGGTGCATGATACCCGCATCTTCAGAAAGAGGCAAACTAGAATTTTTTCCCAGATAGGAAAATCAGAATTGGAGAGGTGGAAATGGCAATTGTGATCCTTGGCAATCCAGCCTACCCCTTACTCCTGTGGCTCATGAAGCTGTACACGGGCAGCCTGGACTCCAATAAGGAGAGGTTCAACTACAAGTTGACCAAATGCTGAATGGTGGTGGAATGTGCTTTTGGACATTTAATGGGAAGATTTAGGAGTCTCCTGACTAGGTTGGACTTCAGCGAACACAACATTCCTTTTGTGGTGTCAGCCTGTTTTGTGCTCCATAATCTTGTGAGTGCAAGAAGTAAAGTTATCTGACAGGGTGGGGAGCTGAAGCAGGGAACCTAGCCAGAGATTTTGAGTAGCCAGACACTAGGGCAAGAAGGAGAGCACAGCATGGAGCAGCACAAATTAGAGAGGCTTTAAAGGATATTTTCATGGATGGCCAGTTTTGAGACTCATGCACGTTGCTCTCAGCAAAGTGCCCCTGCATTCCCTGGGTTTGCCTTTAATCATCCCCACTCCCCACCCTCCCGCAGTACAAGCAATTAAGAGACTGTTGTTCGGAAATCATGCATTTTTATTTAGGGAAAACAGCAGGGAAACAAAAGAAGTGAGGACCCAAAGAAGGGAGGGGGCACAGAAACATGCAAAGAACAACTTTTTGCTTTCCAAGGTCCTGGAGGATAAGGCTGTCCTTGAGTCCCATACCCCCATCCCCCTCCCTCCCCGCACACACACACCACGGCCTAGCTATGAAGATGGAGAGAAAGGAAAGTTATTTTGATTGGGGCGGACAGGGTTCTGGGAGGAGGCCTTTTCCACACATGCAGCCAGGTGCTCCATCACTGTTATCAGGGAGACAAAGATGCTATCCTGTTGCCTCACCTGCAGCTCCCTGCACACTCTCTTCTCCTGGCATGCAATGATCCTGTCCTGGTGCTCTGCCCACATCTCATCCAGGAGCATCTTCATTCTATCCATTTGCTCCTTGAACGTATCCTCCCTTGTCCGTTTTCACCTGTGGATCTGTGCCAATTGCTAGAGCCAGGGGAGTACGCAGTGAGCTGGCTGCTGTTCCCACTGTAATGAAAAGTTACAAGGGCACATATTACAGATGACACATTGTGTTAAGCCTAACTCTAATCAGCCTGCATACAGCAAAGGTCTCTGTAAAGACAATGAAGACGTATTCTGTGCAAGGCCAAATTTTTGCTTTAAAACAGCCACTGTACGGCAGGTACATAGAGTTCTCAGGGGAGCATCTGGACTCAGGTGGTTTGGAGGCAGGCAGGCATGGTAAGGGGCCTGCCACAGGCAGGGTGGTGTCCAGCACATACAGCTTCCTGAGACAGTGCTACTTTTTCAGCCTGCAGGCAGGAGAGGGGGGACAGGGCAGGGCAGCTTCTCTCTGTGTTTGGCACATGCTGGGTCTGGCACAGTCAGCTTCCTGGGACAGTGCTACTTTCCCAGCTCACAGGATGGAGGGGATGGGGTGAAGGAGTTGTGTCCAGCACATGCAGCTTCCCAGGAAGAATGCTAATAGCTTCCCCTTCTCCTTCATCCAGGTTGTCCTGAGTCTTCTCTGAATCACACAGAGGGATAGGGAGCTGATTCTGACTGAATGGTGCACTGCTTTGTGGTTCACTGACTCCAGACAACTTACTGGAGCCTTGGCATGGGAAGGTGTCCTACTGCGGGGGGTGGAATAAGGCTGGACTCCACAAAAACTGTGACAAGGATGAAAGAGTTCCTATCTGAGAGCTTCATGGAGATGTGCAGGGAAGATTCCCACTCCATCTGCAAACACATTCACAAGCTGTTCTGGGCCTCCCGCGCTGTGTAGGCACACGGCATGATGCATATCACACCCAATTGCCTTCACCTGCTTGCAGTAAGAAAAAAAAATGCAAACTCACCAGAAGTGCCCTGCCGGGGTCAGTGCTCAGTTGGCAGACATCCTGGGTGGAGGGGACTGGCTCCAGCATGATGAAAAGATCTTGGCTCTCGCTGATGGCCAGCTGACCATTCTTCTCCTCCTCCTTCTTCTCCCCCTCCACCACCACTCTGTCCTCTATGCTGATGCCAGGAGTGTCTTGGCCAGACTCCACGGTCAGGCTTAGGAAGCTGATGGGGTATCCCCTGGGGCCCAAAGTCGCATCCGGCTGCTTGCAGAACCAGCATGTGTACAATGCTGCAGCAGACCATCAGTTCACCTCCTTTGCCTTGTGGCAGGACTACCTCAGCTCCTTGATTTTGACTCTGTACTGCTGGGCATCCCTGGAATATCCTTCGGACACCTGGCAGCTTGCAACCTTCGCATAAATGTCCATGTTTTGTTTGCTGGTTTGGAGCTCAGAGAGAATGGATTTATCTCCCCACACCTCGATGAGGTCCAAGTTCTCCCAGACACTCCATGCTGGTGCTCTTTTGTACCCCTGAGAACTGGAGCCCATAGGACTTGAAATATTTGTAATCACTGAAGTATGAGAACTATTAGAAGTCATGGCCACATGTGCCACAGTGTGCTGCTCACTCTGAGATGTGGTCATAACACTGAAATGAAATTCAAACTTTCTTGGGGCTTTTCCTGCTCACCTGGAGATCAGTAGAGGCACAAGTTCTAGCCAGAGTGGTCAAAGTGGGGCACTGTGCAAAGCCTCCCAGAGGCTAATAGCCTCAACTTTTACCAACACAGCATCTACACTATCGGAAACAAACTGGTAAGGTCGGGAATAACATTATTCTCATGAAATCAGGAATAACCAACATTGACGTCAGTGGCCCTGAAGGTCGTTGGAACAGGCTTGGTAGTGTGGCAGCTAAATCTGGTGTAAACTCCTAGTGTAGGCCAGGCGGTAGCATCTGACTTGTTCAGATAGATGAGAACAATCCAGAATTGATTTCTATTTATAACCTGTAATCTGGACACTATACATCCACCTGGTCTAACTTTCTGAAGGGTGCATTCCTAGGAACCCAAGGTTTTATAAACATATCCAATTTTTCTCCATATTTTATTGTCATTTTAGACATTTTAGAAGCTTCATGAACAAAAGAGATGCATGTTCAATAGATATTTAATGTTTAGCAAGAGAAATAATTGGCTGCTCTGTGTTGTGCAGATTAGAGAGTCTTCAAAAGGGTTTAAATTGAAGTTGGCACAAACCCAAAAGCAATGCTGTTAGTTAAAAGGCAAGTAGTATGAAGACTATATAACAGAGATGATCTAATGCCTTCCTAATTAATGAGAGAGACGGAGTTTCTATTAAACAAGGATGATTTGGTGGGAAGAGACTCTTCCAGTGAATAAGGAGTTTTGTTTTAAATTTCAGCTACTTGTCAGGTTCAGTCCAAGAAAAATAATCCCCCACAGAATACAAGTGAAGAGTGACACATAATTCTTCATGGAGTTTTGGGGCTTTCAATTCTCTCTTCCCCAGACCCATCTAGCTACGTACAACAACATAACAAGCCCTGTTTTAAACACCATCCTCCATGACACAGTGAAATCAAACTCCTCCTAAAGTTCTCCTATGTTTCAGCAGCATCAATGACTCACGGATCTGAGTGTCTGCCTAATATCATTGTTACTGGAGATTCAGGGAGGACCTCTTTAGCAGGACCAAATGCTCTCACATTGGGATCACTGAAACAATTGCATTAAAATCTGTGCTAATCTGTACCCATTTGTTCACACTTTCTACATGTTTTGTATAATGTATGCCTTGTCAGGTATCATAATATGCTGAACATTATTGTCTTGGTAAAATATGTGTGGCTACATTGTATGAAAGGTAATGAAGTTCTATTCTATAAGACATGTTCCGGTGTTAGAAAAGTAGGCACAAATCAGTTCCTCAGAAACAAAAGGCAAACTGACACCTCAGCTGGGTGTCAACATAATAAGATAGACTATCACCTTGTTACGCAACCATTTTTTGGCAGAAGGAAAAATGTAAGTGAGAAATGTACATCTTGATAATGGTACAGCTGGAAGTTCTCATCTTTGCAGACCTTCTGTCTCCTCAGCACTATCTGGAATAGATTCTCAAAGAGGAGGAAGAGATATAAAAAATGAGAAACAGTGTCTCCAAATCACCTCTTTCCTCCCTTCCTTTCTGCCCACATCATCCACAATGCCTGAAGAACTAGGAAAGGAGCATTGGACTGGGGAAGGGGTCTGGGATGAATAGCATCCAGCAAGATAGCAAAAGAGCATGTGATGAGAGAGACCCTTTTGCTTCAAGTTCACTTAGCTAGTTACGTTAAGTATTAATGTGAGATTTAACTTTTACTGCCTTGTCATCAATTCTGACTTTTATCCCACTTTAATTATTCTCACTTAAAATCTATCTTTCTGCAGCTAGCAATTGTTTTATTTAAACTAGAATGTGTTTGGACTGAAGGGTCTGAACTCCACTGCAGATCACAAGGAATGAGTCTATCATTGTCTAACTTTATTTTCTATTATCTTTAACATTGATGGACTTTATCTGAGATTGTGTTGTCCAGGGGGGCACTGGGCAGTATAAGAAGCACATTTTGGGGGGGGCAAAGAGGGAGTCTGGACCTGGGAATTTTCTGTATGCCACTGTGCAGTATGATTCATAAATAGCTGGCTGGCTGAAGCCCTCTGGCAGTATAGATGGGGGCAATTCACATGCTAGAGGCTGGGTGAGCACAGGTAAGAGTGGCTGCTTCCACAGTGAAGCAGTGTAAAGGCACCCCAGATTGGAGAACAGAGCGGGCACAGCTGTCCAACATCCAGGCCTGCCAATGGGGAGGGGCAACAGGGACAATTGCCTTGGGGCCCAGTGATTCAAAGGGGCCTGAGACTCCCAGTCACTGCTGCTATTGCAGCAGCAGCCAAAGCTCTGGGCCCTTTAAATCACCACCAGAGTGCCGGTCTGCCTGCTCTGCATGGCTCAGAGGGCTGCAGGAGGCTGGCATGGCATGCTCCAGTGGTTGCTGAGGGCTGGCTACTCCAGTCCTGCCCCATCTGCTTGAGGCCCTGCCTCTTGCAGGATGCAGAACTGCCACCTCCTCCACACACACACACACACACACACACACACACACACACACACACACAGAAGCTGTCAGCCCCACTGCCAACATCCCAGATTGAAACCTGGAGAATGTCACAAACTTCTCTCTTCTCTAAAACAGAAAGCAACCTGCAATCTACCCACTAGGCTCTATGGCTGTCTCACCCGGTTTGCTTAGGAAGAAGACTATGAAAAGCCACAAACATTCTGGCTAATTGTGCCTCCGTGCTGCTGGTGGCCTGCAATGCCCTGCCCATTGTTGAAGGCAGCAGGGTGGCTTGATCCCTTCAAAGATATTGCTTCTTGCTGCAAGATGAGCATCTGCAATTAGCAACACATATTGGTTTCATCTGTCTCCAGTGCCTAGGGGAGTCAGCTGTCAGAACAGCTCCAGCTGTTTTAATAAAGCTCTACCCTGCTATCTAAAGGTTAGGCCCCTTATCAGCTGCACTTAGACACTTCAGGTGGTCTGGCCTCGTGGGCCACCTTTACAAAAGGCTCTGCTTTCCCGTTCCCTTTGTGATTCAGCTCCACAAAGTGAATAGAGAAAGAGGAAGAGCTAGCAGGGGAGCGCCCTACAGCATTTGGGGGGCAGGAGGGCTGTTAGATACAGGATGCTGTAAGAGCTGCAAGGTATGTTTACTCTGTTAGTTTTGGCAATGTAAGCTGCTTCCAGGGGCCTGGTGGTATAAACACCGTTCCTCTCCAAGCGTAAACTGACAGCAACTCCACTGCCACCAAAACCACTTTAAATGCCTAGTAATCTGTGTTCCCCGGGCTGTACTACTGTGATGTGGCATCCAAAGAGCTGAGGCAGACAGAAAGAGACTTTGATGAAAATCGACCCCGCAGGAAGGAGCGGGTCTCAGAGACGCTGCATTCCCAGTAGGCAGCAGCTGGCGGAAGGAGTGGGAGGGGGCTAGAAGTCGGGGACAACTGAAATAATCAAGTCAAAGCAGAGATGGGCTCAGACCATAATCCCATGCATGAGCTCTGGGGCTATTTGGATCTGAGCTTTGTCAATCAGGACCTGATATTAATAAAGAGAAAATAGCTGGGAAATGGGGCAGCACAGTAGCTTCATGAGGAAACAGACCAATATTTAATTCTGACAGGGACTCGCTTGCCTGTTCTGGAGACAAAAGCCTCCATGTTTCCATAAGATAGCTATAGTGAAAACAGCTGGGTTACATCTAGACTACATCCCTTTTTCGGAAAATGGATGCAAATTAGACATATCGCAATTGCTAATGAAGCGGGGATTTAAATCCCCCTTGCTTCATTAGCATAAAAATGGCTGCTGCTGTTTTTTGGCACGGAGCTTTGTCGGAGAAAAGCGCCAGTCTAGACGCTGATCTTTCGAAAAATAAAGCCTTTTCTGAAAGATCCCTTATCCCTCTTGAAATAAGGGATAAGGGATCTTTCATAAAAGGCTTTATTTTTTGAAAGATCAGCGTCTAGACCAGCACTTTTCTCCAACAATGCTCCGTGCCGAAAAAAGCGGCAGCCATTTTTATGCTAATGAAGTGCGGGAGAGTTAAATCCCCGCTTCCTTAGCAATTGCGATACGTCTAATTTGCATCCATTTTCCGAAAAAGGGATGTAGTCTAGACGTAGCCCTGTAGTGCAGTAAGGGGCCCTCAGACTTTGTTACTAGTCCTGAGTCACTCGCTTTCCCTTCATCTACGTGTGAGAGAGCCTAGCTCACAGCCCAGGGCTATGCAACGGGAACTGGCATGGAGAATTAATCCTTCATATCCACAGGAGCATGGACACAGGCTTGATTCACAGACCCCGCAAACCTTTGTCAGCAGTAGGAAGGGCTTGCCCAGCTATGACCAATCCGTTAGGCGCCACACACAAATGAGAAGAATTAAAAAAAAACCATCACGGATGTGTTGGCCAACTGAGAAGAAGAAAGACACTCTCCATATTCCTCTCACACACCAGAGCCTGGGGGGTCCAGGCTGGTAGATTTTGTGTGCTTCAGCCCCACAGAGGAGCAGTGGGGGGGCTGGAGCATCAGTGAAGGCTTCTGGTGGGGAGCCCCAAGGCTCAGGGGATAGATCCAGGCAAGCCAGGGGCCACATCTGGCTCCTGGGCTGTAGGTTCTCCACCCCAGCTCTAGAGGGCTATAGAAATAGGCCACAACTGTCAATGTTAAAAAAATTGGCACAATTCTACTAGGCTACGTCTACACTGGCCCCTCTTCCGGAAGGGGCATGTAAATTTCACCAGTCGTCGTAGGGAAATCCGCGGGGGATTTAAATATCCCCCGCGGCATTTAAATAAAAATGTCCGCCGCTTTTTTCCGGCTTTTAAAAAAGCCGGAAAAGAACGTCTAGACTGGCCCCGATCCTCCGGAAAAAGTGCCCTTTTCCGGAGGCTCTTATTCTTACTTCAAAGTAAGAATAAGAGCCTCCGGAAAAGGGCACTTTTTCCGGAGGATCGGGGCCAGTCTAGACGCTCTTTTCCGGCTTTTTTAAAAGCCGGAAAAAAGCGGCGGACATTTTTATTTAAATGCCGCGGGGGATATTTAAATCCCCCGCGGATTTCCCTACGACGACTGGTGAAATTTACATGCCCCTTCCGGAAAAGGGGCCAGTGTAGACGAGCCCCCACTGACTTCAGTGGGAGCAGAGTTTAGGCCTACACTAGGAATTTAGGTTGAATTTAACCACATAAGGTCAATTTTCAAAACAATGAGTCTACATCACAAAGCCCATTTTGTCAACATTAAGGGTCATTAAAGTCAATTTTGGTACACCTGCTTTTCCCAGGGAGTAATGATATATTCCATCTTGCATGGTTGACTTTAAGGTTGTGCCTACACTGCTGTGAAAGTTGATGTTTTTGGCCTCTGGAAGGTGTTTCACAGTGCCCCAATGCAGCAGTTCCCAACCACTGGTCTGCAGACCGGTGCCAGTCTGCGAACCACTGGCTGCTGGGCCAAGGCT